TGAAACAAAAAATTATGACAAGAATGCATGTAGACTAGTGAACACTGTATTTATTTTCGAAAGAAATTTTCGGCCAGTCCTCTGGCCTTCATCAGCTTTACTGAATGCACAAGATTGGCTGTCGCAAGTTGTATACTGTACAATATAAACACAATACAATAGTGATGTAGACGAATTATAGGCCAATTATCTAATAGTTTATGCTGTAATATACAAAGTGAAATCCGACAGAGAAATAATAATAATAATAATAATAATAATAATAATAATATAATAATAAAAATAATAATAATAATGATAATGTTGATATAATGTTGCTTTAGGTACTATATACCCACAATAAAATATAATGATGATGATAATAATAATAATACTGTATTATTATTATTATTATTATTATTATTATTATTATTATTATTATTATTATTATTATTATTATTATTTTGTTGCTTTAGGTACTATATATTCACAAAGTTCTAGTTCATATAAAGTCGTTTTTCGTCCTGTTTGTTCCAAAGTGGTGGGAAATTGTTTTCTTTTCTATCGATCAAATAAACTTTTTCAGTTTTATTACAACTTTACTTTAAAATCAAATAATAAAAGTAGGAGCCGTATTAGTCTATAGCATAAAACACAAATGAAATGAGTACAGTAGGACCTCAGACCTTCTTTAGACTAACGAAATTTATTGAGACACAGGCTTTCGCTAGCTTGGGCTAGCTTCTAGGTGAAACTTTCAAATCAGTGGCACAGAATGGTGCATCTAAAATACAGTAACAATTAACAATCTAACTTCAATTAAACGGAAATAAACTAAAATCCATATGTGACAAAGAAATCACCGTCGGTTTCTACAAAGAAGTACATCTGCACCTGTTCCAACCTTCTTGTTTGCATACAGTTTCAGCTGCAACAGGACTTTTAAGATTATCTGGAAAATGACATCATGTTGGTGAGGCATTGGTCGTTCAAAGCAGGGTCAAAGTCTCTTCAACAGGTTAATCTTGTGTCAAATAATTTAATAGTTGGTCAACCTATAACTAGCAGCAAAGCATTTAAGTTTATTTTACTTGCCTAAACATAATATTATGTTTACTTTTTACTATACTTTCGATGTTCCCTTTGAAATTTGAACTGGTTATATTTTAGTGGAAGTATATTTGTAAACTTTGCTGTGTATTGTTGTAGGCTATTGGACGCAGTGAGAGGTGGGCCACTGATTGAAAAGTGTGGTTCCTAATAAATTTTATATAGAGGGTCATGCGATTGCAAATCAACGAAACTCCAACCTTCAACACAGTTTATTCATTAAGGAAATGTCTATGCAAGTGGAAATGATTTTACTACAGCGTTTCAATAAGCATTAAACTATATTCAAATTATTTTAAAATATGTTGTACATATTAAAACTAAAACTAAATTCTCTTCCATCATGGAGAATCCTGCATGTTTCTAAACACAATATTGATATTTATATAATACTTACTGTACACTTATACAAATTATCAGCATATATATTTTAAACTTTTGTAGTAATTCTGTAATAATTATAGGGCTTGTTGTATGTTTCTTTGTAGATTATTGGATATTTTATATATTTATTGTCTATAATCATTATAATGTATGTATAAAACTATTTTTAATTCCAGTCTGTTAGTGGCAATCACGCAGTGATTCCTTGTTGGTCTGAATAAAATTAAATGGGGAACAAATAAAAAAAAAACAAGCTATTAAATAACAACTTAAATAATATTGAACTATTAATGTTAACAGTT